CTAATATTGCAAAACCACTCACAAGACTCCTATCCAAAGAGGTTGAATTTATCTTTGATGATGCTTGTCTTAATTCTTTTTGTAAAATTAAGAAAGCATTATGTTCTGCACCTGTCATTCAACCACCAGATTGGAGCATGCCTTTCATCCTAATGTGCGACACCAGTGATTATGCTGTAGGAGCCATGTTGGGACAGAAACAAGGTCGTTGCATATATGCAATTTATTATGCAAGTCATACTCTCGATGATGCTCAACAAAACTATGCCACAACAGAAAAAGAGCTACTCGCAGTTGTCTTTGGCATAGATAAGTTCAGGTCATATCTTGTTGGAAGCAAAGTGAAGGTTTACACTGATCACTCAGCTCTAAAGTACTTGTTTGCAAAGAAGGAGGCCAAGCCACGACTTATTAGATGGGTGTTGCTACTGCAAGAGTTTGACATCAAGATCCTTGACAAAAAGGGGTCTGAAAATGTCATCGCCGATCACCTGTCCAGAATTGAGTCACACACAGAAAATAAAGCGACCAAAGAATTACCCATTGATGATTCATTCACAGGAGAATATTTGCTCTCTGTCAAGCACTTTTCTCCTTGGTATGCTGATTGGGTTAATTACATGGTCAGTGGTTATATCCTTCCGAATTCTCGTGGTCCCAAAAGAAAAAGTTCTTACATGATGCTCGCTCTTATTTTTGGGATGAACCACTATTGTTCAAGAGATATGATGATGGAATTGTTCGAAGATGCATCCCAGAAGACGAGTTTGATGCTATTCTTTATCATTGTCATTCATCACCATATGGTGGTCATTTCGGATCCACAAGAACGTCAGCTAAAGTCCTACAGTCAGGTTTCTATTGGCCTACATTGTTCAAAGATTCTCAAATGTACGTGAAAAGATGTGATCGATGCCAACACACAGGATCTATTGGTCTCTGAAATGAAATGCCACAATCCGGAATACTTGAAGTTGAACTCTTTGATGTATGGGGAATGGACTTTATGGGACCATTTCCTAGCTCATGTGGCAATTCTTACATTCTTGTGGCTGTGGACTATGTTTCAAAATGGATTGAAGCAATTGCTAGTCCAACAAATGATTCCAAGGTTGTGATCCGGTTTGTGAAGAAATTTATTTTCTCAAGGTTTGGAGTTCCGAGGGCCTTCATCACAGATAATGGTACACACTTCTGCAATAAGCAACTTGAGAAACTTTTGCTCAAATATGGTGTTAATCACAAAGTGTCTACTCCGTACCATGCACAAACTAGTGGCCAAGTTGAACTCTCAAATAGGGAAATCAAATCAGTCCTTGAGAAAGTTGTCAATCCCACAAGGAAAGATTGGTCCCTCCGACTTGATGATGCTTTATGGGCCTATCGTACTGCATATAAGACTCCTATTGGCACATCACCGTTCAAATTGGTGTATGGGAAGTCTTGTCACTTACCAGTGGAGATTGAACACAAAGCATATTGGGCTATCCAAAGCCTAAACCTTGACTCCACTCTGGCGGGGCAAAAGAGGTTGTTACAACTGAATGAACTTGAAGAATTCAGAATTGATGCCTTTGAGAATGCCCGGCTCTACAAGGAAGGAGCAAAGAAATGGCACGATGGGAGAATCCTTAGGAGAGACTTTTCTCCTGGAGATAGTGTGCTACTATTCAACTCAAGGGTAAAACTCTTTCCAAGAAAGCTGAAATCAAAATGGTCTGGACCTTTCAAAGTTATCAAAGCTTATCCATCCGGGGCAATCATTCTGGAGGGAAATGATGGGAGGCAATTTACTGTCAATGGCCAAAGAGTTAAGCAATATCATGAAGGAGATGACACAAAGGAGAAACTCACTGTTGATCTGGACGATCCTCCTTACGAGTAAAACACTCAGGTAATGTCGGGCACACGACGTTAAAAATAGCGCTTCTTGGGAGGCAACCCAGGTTTATTTCCTTGCATTTGTATGTGTGTTTTGTTTGGGTGTTTGCATTGCATGATTTTTTTTCATACCCATTTACTCACCCGCCCTGTATATATTTGTCACATCGAGGACGATGTTTCATCCTAAGTGTGGGGGGAGAATACGCATGTTTGTTTGTTTGCTTGTGAATTGCCTTATCATCTGTTTAACTTTCAAATCATGCATTTTATTCTTTCACATGGTATGTGGATTGTTGGCGGGACTTGTCTCTTAATAATTGGATTGAGAATCATAATTTTTGAGCATTGAGTAAAAATCTTGGTCAAATTTTAAACTTTGTACAGAAACAAAATATATCATGCACGTAAATGGTTATCTAGTGAAATTGTTGTTCAATATGTTTAAGATTGTGCAAAAAGGGAGTGCTATGTGCTTTTATTTTCCTTGACATGATTTTCTGACTTAGCACATTAAAAAATGATATAGGCCATTTTTCAAAAACCCATATACCTAGCCTTACCCATGTGATAAATATCCCTTGTTCACCCCTTTGAGCGATTTTTTTAATAAGCGTTATACGCTTAACCCTGTTTTTGTTATTTTCTTTCATGATGACCTGTTATATGTGACCCTTAGCCTAAAAAGCCAAACAGTTTCCATCCACCCTAGAATGAACTTGCATAAATTTTAATGATTTAGAGAGTGTCTGTGACACCCCCAAATTTTCCACCCAAAATAATACTTTGAAATAGAGATGAACTTTTATTTAATGATTAAAACTTCAAAAGTTGCAGCGGAAATTAATAAAAACTAAGTAAAAGGGGCATGTCACTGCCACATCCAATCCGTGAATGATTGGATGCTAAGGCTATCTACCAAAATACGAGTTCAACAAAAATCAAAATGTTCGAATCAAAAGCAAATATTAAAGTTTATTTCTAGTGAACTACATAGTTGTCTTCTAATTCGTGCTCTCAAACATTGTAGCATCAAAATCAACATGATCACCTCCTGTTAAATACGAGCACAAGAAAAATAAAAGAAAACAAACATTAGCAATAATGCTAAGTAAGTTCCACCTAACCTTTTAAAATAATAATAAATAATATATATAAATTCGTACAACCTCATAAAATATTTTTCAAAACACTTTATAAATCATAAATCATAAGTAAACGATATCTATATAAAATCCCAATCACATAATTAACTCGTAAACCATAATAATTCCAAAATACATGAAACACCAAAATTCTCCTCTTGAATTTCTCCCAAAATCACTTTGTATCTAACTTCCTAGTAATTTAGAAGGGCGGTGCTCAACACTTTGGTTGAGCCCGGTGGTCCGTTGTTATGTACGGCCTCCCCGGAACTATCGCCGGTACCACAACTGCTCCTTGGAAACGGAAACAACTACTTTAAGTGTGCACACCCCCTAAAGGTATTCCAAGCCCTCCGGGTTAGTAAGTCGATCCGGGTAGTGGGGATGTTTTCTACCAACTACCCCACCTCAAAACCTGAATGATTAGGAGCTACTACTACCACTACTACTCAAAAGCCGGGATGTTTTCTACCGACCGTCAATTCACCTCAAACCAAAACCACCAAAAATTGAGTAGTAGTAGACCTAACCATCCTCCACATTTTAAGGGACGTGGAAAATCAACACCACGGATTTCTCCCGTGATGCTCACCTTTTATGAAAATATTTATTTTTCTCAAAATCAATCGAAATTTATACTTCAAAAATTTCCTTTTCATCAAACTCCCACAAAGATAATAAATTACGTGCTATTACAAAATCTCCCAAAATCGTATACAATAACTCATATTAACAAACCAATATATCAACTAATGTCTCAAATACAACCCTTTCAAATAATAATATTTAATCAAATTCAGCACACATAAATTCAATTCTCAAATATGCACACAAAAATATGTAAAAGAAATCACGAAGAAAAAAAGAACTAATATCGGTTGACGTGAAACTTACCTCAAATCCAATTACTCTAAGTAATTCCTCTGTCTTGGTCTTCACCCAATAAACCTTCTATTGAAAATTCTAAAGTCAATATGTAAATCTTATAATTGAAGCCTCTAGCCTTTACGATTGCCCGATTATTATTCAGTAAGCAACTCTATTTATGATAATAATTAATCCAATTTTATCAATTAATAAAAGTATATTATATTTAGTTGATAGTTATCCACTTACATTCAGTTTATGAGTTTAAAGTTTACTTCAAAGAATTAATCGGCCAACAATTCACTTTACCCTTGCTATTAATTCACTTTTATAAAGATTCTAAGTTTTTAACTAAACAATCGTTTTACAAAAAAAATGAGATTTAACAATCACTAAGAATTATAATTTAGTCAAATACTACAAATTTTCCGTAGTAATCGGGTTCATATTATTATTATTATTCAATTTAATTTGACAAGTCCGCTTTTAAATCCGACTAAAGTAATTCAAATTTCATAATTAATTTATATTAATCGACATTATTAGTAAATCCGAATATTATAACAATTGTTTAAATTAGCTAATCGTCATCAACTTAAAATGATTTTATCAATTACCCAAACACTTGATATTTCTGAGTCCGTAATTATGTTAATTTTATTACTCTACTTCAATTAATCCAATAATTAGTGAAAATAATATATGTCCAATTTATTTAATCTAATTATGGTACTAAGTCCAAATGAATAATTATTATTTTAATATAATATTCGTTTATTAGTTTTTTTTTATTACTTAAACCATCAATTCATTTCATCATTAATATTTCTCATCTCTAATAAATCCATTTTTCAGATTATTAATATTATTATCAATAATTCTTCTCAAGTTACTAGCATTAGAATTATACATATGTAAGTCAAACATTCTCGTGCCTAGGTTTAAATTAAATTGTCTATCATTGATTAAGAGGTCCGGCCCAAACAAAATAAAACAAGTCTGACGTCTTCAAATAAACAGAAGAACGACTTCGTCATCTTCTTCATTGTGAGTCGCCGGAAATACGAACCCAAGCGCAGGGCTACAAAGACGGGATACGGGCCGTACCTTATCGAAGACAGAAGGGTGGAAAGGAGGTTTGTTCGGCGATGATCGGAAGTTGGCTGAAGGCGGCAGTAGAATTTACTCCGTAAAACCAGTCCGGCGGCCACTCCGGCGAACTCCGGCGAAGCTTTTCTCCCTCGTTTCACGACCGTTTTCAACGATTCTTTCACCGTTGGATTCCTCTCATGAAGGAGAAGGTTTCAGAAGTGATTTCAAGTCTAGGTTTTCAGTATAACGAAGGGAAGAAATCTGGTTTATGTATATATATATATATATATATATATATATATATATATATATATATATATATATATATATATATATATATATATATATATATATATATATATATATACCCTTCGTGTGTATATATATGTGTGTGTGTGTGTGTCATTGCTGTTACTTTGAATGGGACGAAACACATGTCAAGGGTGTGTATTTATACTGATAAGGGGAAGATCTTAGGCTGGAGAAATAAGTGTAGATAATATTATACGAAGTTTTATCCGAATGAGCCGCATGTCTCCTTATTTATGTAGTCTACGTATTTAGTCTTCTTTCTTTCTTTTTTTTTTTCTTTTTGCAGGTTGTATCTTAAGCATGGATATGGCCAGGTTCATATGTTAGATATACGAAGTACGTAGTTTTAGCATAAGGAATAGTTAGGGTGTATTTTAGAGTTTGTATAATGTTAGACTTACAAAATTACGGGGTAATTCTTATGTAGCATAAGTATAATTACTCCTATAAACATAGTTGGACTCAATCTTATGTACCACCACGTACCTGCATACTTTGTTAATATTGAGCCGCAGATGTTTTCTAATATACGTAGGTATACTTTACATAATTAGCAGTAGGTGTTAAGTTTGTATTTTGTGTATTTTAATACAAAATAAAAATATAACTTTTACTTCTTATGCCATATGTATAACTGGTACTTGATATAAATCGTTACTTCTATTTTCGGATCGTTTTATCAGACTAAACATGCCACAAATGTTAAAACTTTACTTGATTCACTTAATTATTAAAATCTCACTTTTGTAACATTTTATCTCACTTTTGTAAAATTTACTTTTGGTAGAAAACATCCCCACTACCCGGATCGACTTACTAACCCGGAGGGCTTGGAATACCTTTAGGGGGTGTGCACACTTAAAGTAGTTGTTTCCGTTTCCAAGGAGCAGTTGTGGTACCGACGATAGTTCCGGGGAGGCCGTACATAACAACGGACCACCGGGCTCAACCAAAGTGTTGAGCACCGCCCTTCTAAATTACTAGGAAGTTAGATACAAAGTGATTTTGGGAGAAATTCAAGAGGAGAATTTTGGTGTTTCATGTATTTTGGAATTATTATGGTTTACGAGTTAATTATGTGATTGGGATTTTATATAGATATCGTTTACTTATGATTTATGATTTATAAAGTGTTTTGAAAAATATTTTATGAGGTTGTACGAATTTATATATATTATTTATTATTATTTTAAAAGGTTAGGTGGAACTTACTTAGCATTATTGCTAATGTTTGTTTTCTTTTATTTTTCTTGTGCTCGTATTTAACAGGAGGTGATCATGTTGATTTTGATGCTACAATGTTTGAGAGCGCGAATTAGAAGACAACTATGTAGTTCACTAGAAATAAACTTTAATATTTGCTTTTGATTCGAACATTTTGATTTTTGTTGAACTCGTGTTTTGGTAGATAGCCTTAGCATCCAATCATTCACGGATTGGATGTGGCGGTGACATGCCCCTTTTACTTAGTTTTTATTAATTTCCGCTGCAACTTTTGAAGTTTTAATCATTAAATAAAAGTTCATCTCTATTTCAAAGTATTATTTTGGGTGGAAAATTTGGGGGTGTCACAGTGTCATTCACCTTAAGGGAGCTTCATTTACACTTTTGTGATTACTTAGTTGTTAATATTCATTTATAAGAGTAGTTGTTCTTGTTGTATCATCATTGTACATATTATTCTTGTAAATTCTTACTGTTAAAAGCATGAAAAAGCCTTGAAAAAAAAAATCAAAAATAAACGAAAAAAAGAAAATATAAAAAAAAAAGAAAAAAAAGAAGAAAAAATAGAACAAGGCTAAATGTCAATGTATATGCTTCTCTCTTTTGTATATTTTTCTTGTACATCAATTTACTCTTTTTACTATCCCTAACTGTTGAAAATAACAAGTGTTGTATAGATTATTGTCAAAAGCTCCTACTCACTGCTTAGTACCTCTATAAATTTGTTAAATTTATGTCAAGTTCATTTCTTTTGTTTCTTCATTAACTCCCTTTGTTCATAAGCCTTTTCCCACAGACCCCATTATAACCCAATGTGAAAAGTCCTAATTGATCTTAATTGTGTTTTGTCTGAAATAAGTTGATAGGAAAATCTTATTTTGCATAATTTTGCATGGTTGAACAAACGAAGCTAGATTCCATTTTCACATCACACACTTTGCGTTTGTTAGAGTTAAGATTTGACCAAAACTTTTCAGATGATAAGCAAAATATTTTTATGATTCTCACTACTCTTATTTTGTGACAAGTCAAGGGAATTTGATTGATCGGTAGAGTGAAAGGAAAGTGTGCATGATTTGAGGGTTATACATATGATTTGGCAAATTCATTTATGTTTGCTTGCTTGCTTGCTTGTGTGAAATGTAAATAATTTTTGCTTGAGGACAAGCAAAATCTTAAGTATGGGGGAGTTGATGTACTCCTAATTTACCATATTCATTATCTTGTTTTGTACAATCTCTCCAACCAATAACATCATGCCATGTCATCAATTCTTTACCACCATACAACCACATAGTCATCATCATCTTACCATCATGAGGAACGCAGCAGCTATCAAACTTCTTGCAAGAAATAAAACAAACTGAAGACTATTCACGGGAACTGTTGTTTCGGCGCCTAATGGGATTAGGCTAATCAATTTGCAAAATTATTATTTCCACCGGCATCATTATTGAATAACCTTCAAGCTCAAGAGAGTTTGTGTTGCCTATATAAAGACGCATTTTGGAGCTCGGAAAACACACCAATTCGGAGAGAAATCTCCTTCTTCTCTTCATTAGCTTTGTTCATAGTAGTAGTCATATAATAAAAGTGATTCTCTCAAGAACACTTTCTGTAAATTTCATTTTGTAATTTTCATTTCAAGAATTTTAGTTCTTTAATTTCAACAATCAAGTTCATTTGGGAAGCATCAGCCAGAATCATTCTCAGCTTAAGGATTTCACTTTCTCTATTCCAGCTCATTATTTATGCCTTCAGGATCTTATTCAAATACTCATTTTATTTTCTTCAATCTGTTAAATTAATTATGCCTATCATTAGTTTTACTTTTATTTCATTTACTGTAATTATGTGTAACTAAATTAGTTTAGGTTTGGGCAAGATGTAATTTTTTGTGACCAAAACAATGTCAAATACTACTCTCTAGCATGGGATGGTGAGTGAACTGCATTTTTTGAAGTAGTAGTTCTTTCTAATGAAAAGCTTAAAAGGAATTTTTCAAATGTTCTTGATAGAGTATATCTAGAGAGAAGTCAGAGCTAGAGAGAGAAGTGCGATAATATGCTTCAATAGAATGAATTTGTAACCCCTATAACTACTCCCAAAGGGAGTATTTATAGAGAAAATTAGGGTTGGGCTCCCAAGCCTTGGGTTTGGGAGGCCCATTTACAACTGAACCGCTACTGGGCCGAATACAAAGCCACTAATGGGCCGTACAATTGAGTAAGTATAAAATCTGATTCTGGGAGGTCTTCGTGGCCGACGAGGGCGTGGCCGACGAGGGCGTGGCCGACGAGGGCACCCGGGTTCCTTGGACTCGGGACCATAATCCGAGTTGGCCCCTTTTCGGCCGACGGGGGCGTCTTGGCCGACGAGGGCGCCACTCTGTTATCTTGTGCTTTCTGTTCCGAGTATGTGGGTCCGGGGGCTCAGACCCATATACTCCATCAGGAGTCCCCCACTCTCTAAGCTGAGACGTAGACGAAGTGAAGGAGAGTAGATTCCTGTGCTTTGTTGCCCTTGGCCGTTACTTGTTCCTCGTTGTGGACGGGGAGGCCGTTGTTTGCTTGATGTCTTTGTATTTGGGACGATGAGTGTCCTTCTTTCAATGGTGGCCGTTGAAGGCATGTTTTGCTTGGGCGCTGATGGTTGAAGTTTGTATTTGGGCCGATGAGGCCACTGAAGTTCGTCCTTGCTTCGAGGACGATGGCGTCTTTCCCTTTGGATGGCCGATGAGGGTGTTTGCGCACTCCTTTTGGCCGTCGTTGATTAGCTTTCATGTTTCTGGCCGAAGAGCCCCTCGTGATTAAGTGATGGCGGAGGACGATGAGTGTCCTTGCCTTTGGTGGCCCGTTGGCCGTTGCAGATGACGTTGTGTGCCTTCGGTCGACGAGGTGCAGTGTGATGCGTGGCCGATGTGGCCATGCTCTGTGGTTACCTTGTTTGCATTTTCTTTCATTTTGTTGAGGCCGGTGTAGTCCCCCAGTCCCCCACTGCTTCAGGCCGAAGAGTGTGAGGGGTGAAGGAGTTGCTTGAGTCCCCGGCCGAAGCGGTCTCGTCGTAGTCCCCCTGAATCCAACCCTCATGGCGATTTTCTGGCTTAGGTAACCCTGTGGGAGAACCCTTGTGCGCGGATCGCTTGTAGAGGGTTATCATCAAGGGTTATTACGAGGAGCCGATGGCTTTTGGGCTCTTCGGTCCTTTGATCTTGTGGCCGTTACGTTCCTGGCCGTTGCCGTCTCCTTATTGTTTGGCCGTTGTGATCTTGGCGAGCAAGTGGGACGTTGTGGTCGCTTGCTGGCATTTGTAAAGCCGGTGAGCGTGTGTAGGCCGTAGAGTCCGTCTTGCCAGTGGGCTGTTGATATTGAGTTTGGCCCGTTGGTGACGTGGTGGTCCTCCATTGGTGGCCGTTGGTGTGGCCATTGGGGGGGTGCCACGTGTAGTGACCGTTGGGTGGGGGGTTCTATAAATACCCCTCCCCCTCCGACGAGAAAACGTATTTGCATTCTGAATTTGTCGAAGTGCTGGCCGATTTTCTAGAGAGATAAACTCCCAAGCCTGTTCTTCGTGTTCTTCGTTGTTCAAGGTTAGTGTTCATCGCGATCTTCCTCACTTTTCATACTTTGCTTCCTAGGTTGTTGATCTAGTGTTAGGCGTTTGAACACCCTTAGATCTTAAGTTAGTCTCCTTAGGCCCGTAGTAGTAGTTATGAAGAGCTTGAACGAA